CGTCCCGCTGCAGGGGACGGTACCTGGTGGCGCTGGGACATTACTACCACCCCGAGGAGTTTACCTGCTGCCAGTGCAGGAAGGTGCTGGATGAGGGAGGCTTCTTTGAGGAGAAAGGCTCCATCTTCTGCCCCAAGTGCTACGACACACGCTATGCGCCCAGCTGTGCCAAGTGCAAGAAGAAGATCACTGGGGTGAGTGTCCCTCAGCCTGCCCCTGCTCACCTGTGGGTGCCTGGCTCTACCTCTCCCCAGCCCACGGGATCCTGTGTCCCGTTCTGCACTGGGTGGGGCTCCCCCGTGGCACAGGGTGGTCTGCCCCCAGCTGACAGCAGTTCCTCTCCAGGAGGTCATGCACGCACTGAAGATGACCTGGCACGTGCAGTGCTTCATGTGCGCCGCCTGCAAAACTCCCATCCGCAACCGTGCCTTCTACATGGAGGAGGGACAGCCCTACTGTGAGAGAGGTAGGCCCGGGGCCCCCACGTGTTACCCTGCGTGGCCCTAAGGCACCGTCGGAGCTCCGCAGCTGCCCACGGGGTGGGGGGTGAGCTGCCCTACGCTGCGGGGCTCTCCATGGGCCCTGGGGAGCAGAGGGACACCCCTCGTACAGCACTGAGCCCTCCATCCCTGTTCTCTCGGCTGCTACCCGGCAGTGCCATTGCTCGGGTGTTGTCATGGCAATGACAGAGGATGTACATACAGGCAACTGCTGCATCCTGGGAGGTGAGGTTTGCCTCCTCCCTGCGGTAACCCGGCGTGGCACAGGCGTCTTGCCCTGATGTCTCAGGCATCGTCCCCCCAGAGCTGGCAGCGAGTTGTCCCCAGGCTGTGCCTGTGGGACCCCAGCGGTGCCGTAGCCCTGCTCCCCTGGGAAGAGGGGCTGCAGAGCAGGGAATGCTGACCTGGGCTCTGCCTCTCCTCACAGACTACGAGAAGATGTTTGGCACCAAGTGCCGTGGCTGTGACTTCAAGATCGACGCTGGGGACCGGTTCCTGGAGGCACTGGGGTTCAGCTGGCACGACACTTGCTTCGTCTGTGCGGTGAGCCCTGTGCCTCCCTCCCCAGCTGCTGGTGGGGGCCATGGCTGTCCTTGGCAGTTGTGGGGTACACTAGTAGGGTGAGGTCCCTGCTGCCATAAAGTTTTCCCCATTTGGCTCTCTGCTTGTGGTTCTGGACCCTGCTCTGAGCCTACTGCTCCCTGGCATCTGGTCCGGGGACTGGGGGGGTACCTAGGGGCTGGCTCAGGCCCCTTGACCTTGACTGTCTGTGTTTTCCTCCCTAGATCTGCCAGACCAACCTGGAAGGGAAGACATTCTACTCCAAGAAGGACAAGCCGCTCTGCAAGAGCCATGCTTTCTCCCACGTGTGAGGGGCGGGAGTTCAGCTGTGCCCACACATGACCTGCATGCTCCTCTCCTCCCCAACCCTGCTGCCCCCCAGGAGCCAGGCTGGGCCCTCACCCCTTCCCCTTGCTCCTGCCTCTTTCCTGGCAGCTCCTGGCCCAGCTCAAGCCAGAGGCAGTGCTGGGCCCAGAGCCCTTTATAGCTGAGTGGCTGCTTCTGTGCCCCGCGACT